GACAAACATTTCTTATAATGTTTGTCTTATGATAACATCAGGGCCTTAATTTATGAGAACTGCAACAACCAGTGTAACACAGTCCTCACAACAACAGCATCAGATGTGCCTCAAAAGGAAATACATTATCTTTATGTTGAAGTGGAATATAGATGAGAGGGGTGATCTTTAGTTGACTTGGTTTAAGAAGTGACCTGAATGCAGACAGAGAAATTAAACTGACAACAAACAAGCAGGTGGCTGTTAACAAAATGTTTCGAGGAAAAGATAAAAAAATAGAAACCTCTTTGATTTTGGTGTCCAATTCCTTCTGATGAGTCTCTATCTTCTTCTTCAGTGTCTCCACTTCCTGCTCAGCTTTATTCTTCTTCTGCTCGTCTTCTTTTCTGTGACTCTGATCATTAAAACACGTGAAAGAACATATTATACAGTGACCCATATGGTAAAGAAATTAATCCTCAGCTCTGCATGACGCTAGGTAGCTCAGTCTGCGTTTGGGGTGTGGACTAGCTGGTGAGATGCCAGTTTTTCCTCCTGGACACTGCTGAGGTGCACCTGAGCAAGGCACCAAACCCCTAACTGCCCCCAGGGTGCCTATATATGGCAGCCCATGTCTATAAGCCCTGTGTGTGATTGCCTTTTTGGGCCTATGTATGTAAAACATTGAGTGAAGAAAGAAATCTTTAAAAAAGGACATTTCAAGATCAAAGTTTTATTTCAGGCCTGTGGGTGGTAACATATGGTTTCCTCTCTGTTGCACAATTCTTCCGCTCCTCTGCTTTGATAAAGTAGTTCAGGGCTGCATAATGCAACTGTTAATGAAGTTGATAAAGACCATTAATCAACAACCAGTAAAGAATCCAGTCCAGCATTGCTCTCAGTCATAAATTAGTGATAGAAGGGGTGCAAGGGGAAAAGTAATGGCTCTATTACAACAAACTTGCTTCTTATTTTTTGGAGAACACCTCAGAGTGTATTATTGCATGCAAACCATGAGCACTTACCCACCAAGGCCACCAGGAAGACTGGGATAGGGTGGCTTTGATTGTCTCCAGCTAGGAGGAAGTGATAGAGACATTAGCACCACATTTAAGCTTGACACAGTTAAACTTAGCACAATATGAAAAGAGTAACTAACTGTTAAGTAGATTGTATATGCTACATAACTGAGTAGAAGTGACTTCAATAAGATAAACATGGTATAGTGGATCCTCAATCAGCAGAGTTACTGACATATCTCAGTAAATGAAGATGAAGACATGAACCTCTTTGTTTTTGTTCTCCAGCTCTTTCTTCAGGGTCTGCAGGTTGTTCTGGATCTTCTGCTTCTTTCCATTGAGCTCCTGCAGCTTAGATTGTTTGAGTTTGACCTGGAAGGACAGAGAGAAGGTCCAGGAGAGACAATGGGAGACATTTAAAAGTTTACAAACTGACAAAACTGTCTGACCTTACACTATGGATGACACAAAGAGTGTGACTTCAATCTCAAATCAGTATATTATATTATTAAAGTGAAGATGAACCTCATTCTTTATGGTCTCCAGCTTCTCTTTCACTCTATTCTGAGCTTCCTCCCTCCTCTGCTGCTCTTCCTCCTCCTCCTTCCTCTGCTGCTCCTCTTGCTCACATTTCTGCTTCTTCAACTGAAAGAGAGGACAGAGATGGTCAGAGACAAGATTCGAGACATGATTTTATTCAGGTAAAAAAAGGTGAAAAGATACCGCACAGTGACACACACACCCGAGCATCAAGTGTGATTTCTGCAGCATTTTAATCGTTGAACAGTTGAAATTGTTCAGCTTGTAACAAAAAAATTTACTAGAATTACTCTGAAGTTGGATTTTGAGTTTCAGTTGGATAATATCCCTTCTTGCTCCTCATTTTTTCTCCCTCTACCGAAAAGAATGTCCTGTTTCTTTACTTACATGTTTCTTTTTCTCTTTTCCCTCGTTCAAAACCTCCATTTGCACAGTTTCATGTGTCATCAGCTGCTCTCTCTCTCCTTCTTCTTCAGTGACAAACTTATCTTCAGTGCTGTTACTTTTAGAGCAGTTCTTCTTTCCATTATCAGTTTCATCCCTGTGGCTTTTCTGTTTCTCTGTGTAATAATAAAGCCAGTAGTATTAACTATATATAAAAGACGTTGATGCTTCACAGCACATGAGACATTTCAGTCAAAAAATCTGGTATAAATGGATTATAACAATATGTCACCTGACATTTTGACTGACTGGAAATTCAGATAGAAAAAAAACATAACCTGTGAAATACTGACATTTTGATCAAAGTGAACATTTTATTCACACAATTAATATCATTATTACACATAAAACCTTCAACAATAACGTTACATTTTTAAAGCCCTGTTAATTAATTTGTTACTTACTGATTGCGCTTCGTCTCAATTTCCGCAGAAATA